AAAAAATGCCGGAACCAATTTTATAATTATAGAAATGCTATTAATCCTAAAATAGGCTAAAATTGCAATTGTATGTATTTTGGCTTTTAAAAATACCAAATAAAATTGTAAAAAATATACAAAAATCACCTTAACTATATTTTGGTGTAAGTATGAGAATGAAATAAACTATTCACCAAGTTGATAGTTTTGGGAATAGTTACTGATTTTTGTATTGCTAAAATGGACAATAAATTGATTTTAAAAATCTTTAAAATTTATAAAAAATACCAAAACACTTGGGCATGCTTATATATGTTATTTTGAAAGTATTTTGTATATGAAAAAAAAAATACGTAGGGAAAAATTGGGTATCAACACTTTTATCCAGCATCAAAGAACTGAATTCTTTGACATATTTCCTTACCGTTCCAGTTTGTTTCAACTTCTTCAAACGATCTCTAGCAATCCAGCCCGCATTGCTAGGAAAGAATTGATCCTTCAACTCTTTCTTCAGCCCTTCCCAAGAGTCAATCTTCGGCCTACCAGCACTTACATCATCTGCCACGCGCGTCCGCCACCAAAGCTTTGCATCGTCCACCAAGTACATAGTCGTAATGGTGACCTTGTCTTCATCTTGCACTTTGGCAGCCTGAAAGTACTGCTCCATATCCCACAGGAAGTTTTCGAGTTTCTTGGCACTCCTTGCACCACTAAACTCTTTAGGCTCCGGAATTTTGACCTTGGTACGATCTGCCCCACGCCGTGCTTCATCACTGCCAACAACACGACGCAACAACACATTTTCCGCTTTCAGATCTGTGCACTCTTGGCTCAACCTGTTCATCTCGGCCTCAAGATAGGCGAGACGAGTCACAATAGTCAGAAATTGATCCCCATCAACAGTTCCGACGAGTGCCTCCAATGCAGCGCTTTTTCCCTCAATTCTACGTTGCCACCAGCCATCTTTCACAAAATTCAGCCACTGAACGTTGTGTCTTCGCCCCGATCCAGCCACGCTCTGATACCAGTTGTCACAGGGGTGATTTATGTCACTCGAATTTTTGCTCGAGGTTCACCTTCGTGCGGCAGTCAAGCCCAGCCTTGACTTCAGCCTTTTCAACACTTAGTTTTATTTTTAGGGACGTTTTGAACTTAGAAAGAAATAGGCAGCAAAAATAGTAATTAAAGGCACACACGATATACAGGAATTTCTTCCCAACTCGTATTAATATGTGAATACAAGAACACAATAGCCAACCCTATGGCCAAGATAAAGAATTCCCTAATTCCCTGCCCCAAAACGATTTTCCCACCCTTAGGAAATGACTTAGACGATTTTGGCTTAACAAAATGCACAAAAGCTAAGTTCTGCCCATTTGGGACAGCTTATGCACATATTTATAGTGCTGCTGCCCAATTACACTTGGCAGGATTAAGACAAGTAAGTTTACAAGCCCCAACTGATGGGAAAGCATGCTAAAAACGTGTAACACTAAGTCACAAAGTCAGCCATGATCTAAAAACGTGCCCATGATCAGCCATGCTTGAAATGGGCAGTTGTAACCGCTCAACCGCTCCGTCATGTGCACTGCATGTGTTTGATTTGGCCAATTCCTGCACGCCCAAGGCTGGCATTGCGCCCAGCCTTGCCCTTTGACATTGCTCCGCCCCAATGCCATGATCTAGCTCACCGCCCACTGACTTGATCGCACACGCCCATTTCCGCAGCTGCCCGCTTTGTCAAGTCGCCCTCAACTTGATTAAATCTGCCCGCATCAATTGTTATTGCTTGTCCCGCACTGCCTTGCCTTGTCTTGCCATGTCTTTGCCCCTGCTTGACATGGCTTTGCCTTGCCATTGTTTAGCCAACCCGCACGTCCAAGTAAAATGCGCCTTGCTTCCGTTCAAGGTGCGTTTGTCAACCCCGCATAGTTCGTCATGCCGAGCTGCTCGTCATGATATTGTCACAATTTTCAGGTTGTGTGCCAAGTCCATCATGAAAATCCTTGTCAACCCACACCTGCCGAGGACCTTTGTCAAGGGGCTAACAACAAGCACCCAGGCCCCAGCAAACACGAAAAAGAGGAAAATGTGAAAGGTCAGTGTTAATCCATTTTTGTCGACGTAGATTATTTACGATCAATTCCTGTCGTGTACTTAGTTTTCAAAATAAATATGAAAGAGAAATTTTGTTTTCGGTCCAAGGAGAATTTCATATAGATTTTTGAATTTCAGAAAAAATATTTTGTACTTGATTGTCTTCTGTATAACTGTAGATTTGTTGAAATTCTGTGAGGAGGAGAAAATTTCTTCATTTGGGAAATGCCTCAAAGACTCTTATGCAAAAAGTTGAGAAGATTTTAAAATTTTATGGATAATTGTACATTTGGTCCCTTAGTTATCGATGAATTCTGGTTTTGGTTCTTGTATATTTGGCTAAACACACATCCTTTAATTGACTAAAGTATGTGTCATTGGCCCATTTACAACAACAACAACATACCCAGTATTTATCCCACACCGTGGGGGTCTGGGGAGGGTAGTGTGTACGCAGACCTTACCCCTACCTTGTGAGGATAGAGAGGCTGTTTCCAATAGACCCTCGGCTCAAGATAGTATAAGTACCACATTAATAAAAATATAGGCAAGAAGAGACAATATCAAAAAGCCATATAAAAGCAAAATAACACAACAAGACAGTAAAGTGATCAGCAATGAAAGAAAACAATGGTTAGTCATAAAAACCTACTACCAACAGAAAATGAGACTGCGTGCCAATACTAAAGTTATGAACACTCTACACTACCTACTCTACTACTCTAATTCTCGACCTCCATACCTTCCTATCAAGATTCATGTCCTTGGTCAGCTGAAGTTGCGCCATGTCTTGCCTAATCACTTCTCCCCACCTCTTCTTTGGCCTACCTCTGCCTCTCTGTACGCCCTCCAATGTCAACCTCTCACACCTCCTCACCGGGGCGTCTTTGCTCCTCCTCCTCACATGACCAAACTACCTAAGCCGCGCTTCGCCCGCATCTTGTCCTCAATAGAGGCCACCCCTACCTTATCGCGAATAACCTCATTTCTGATCTTATCTAACCTGGTGTGCCCGCACATCCACCTTAGCATCCTCATCTCTGCTACCTTCATCTTTTGGACATGAGCAATCTTGACTGGCCAACACTCAGCCCCATACAATATCGTTGGTCTGACCACCATTTTGTAGAACTTACCCTTAAGTTTCGGTGGCACCTTCTTGTCACACAAATCACCGGAAGCGGGTCTCCATTTCATCCATCCTGTCCCAATACGATGTGCGACATCTCCATCAATCTCCCCGTCCCCCTGAATAATAGACCCGAGGTACTTAAAACTCCCTCTCCTAGGGATGGCCAGCGAGTCCAGTCTCACCTCCCCTTCCTCTCCTAAAGTCTCGCCGCTGAACTTACACTCCAAGTATTCTGTCTTGGTCCTGCTCAACTTGAAACCCTTAGATTCCAAGGTCTGCCTCCATACCTCTAATTGCGCGTTCACACCTTCTCGCATCTCATCAATCACTACAATATCATCTGCAAATAGCATGCACCATGACACCTCCCCTTGGATGTGGCGCGTCAGTACGTCCACCAGAGCAAACAAAAATGGGCTTAATTCTGACCCCTGATGCAACCCCGTTTGTATAAGAAATATGAGATTTATAGATTACTTTTAGAACTATATTGCTCTCAATATGAAGTACTAGTACAAACTTAAAACAAAACATTAATAATTGGTTAAATTTGTGAAGTTTTATTGTCAAGAAGATAAAAATAATGCACGTATCAATTAATGATAGGTTATTATTGATCCATCACAAAGAAATCGATATGTATACGAGACTAAGAGTGTGTTTGGTACGACGGAAAATATTTTTCGGAAAATGTTTTCCAATTTTTTCATGTTTGGTTGGTTTAAATGTTTGGTTGGTTGTTTTCCTTATCAAGAGAAGGGAAAACATTTTCCAATACTCCTTCTCAACCTTCCCCACCCCACACCCCCACACTCACTCACCTAAGCCCACCCCATGTCCTCTCTCCAAAAATATTTTTTTTCGTCACCACCCACCCTACTACCCCACCCACCCCCTACTCCCACCCTGCAAAATTTTTTTTTACTTTCTTTTTTTGTAATTTCAAATTTATGTTTTTCGTTTTTCTATATCCCCTACCCCGCCACCCCCTCCCCCCAGGGAAAAAATATTTTTTTTTAATATATTTTCAGTTTTACTTTTTTCATCTTTCGGTTTGCAGGTTCGAAGTTTTACAAGTTCAAAAGTTATGTGTTCGGAGGTTTATGTGTTTGGAAGTTTGCGGGTTCGAAATTTCGCGATTTTGAAAGTTTAGCAGTTCGGAAGTTTATGAAATTTGTGGGTTCGGAAGGTTATTGGTTCAAAAGTTTATGGCGTCATATTTATTGTATCTACATTATTTATGAATACTTTTGAGAAAATATTTTCCTTAATTTGAGTACCAAACACCGAAAATGAATAAGATTACTACTTGTTTTTCAAGAAAACATTTTTTTAAAAACATTTTCCACGGAAAACTTTTTCTGTTATACCAAATACACCCTAAAAGTGGTGATTTCCAAAATTTAAGAACTTTAAATTTTGAACAGATTTCAAAATTTTCTAATCTGTAGACATCGAACTCGCCAAAAATTTCCGGGAGTTGCTTTGGTGAAGTAGCTCAACAACTTGAACAAAATGATTAATAGCTTATTTGACCGAGCTTTTAAAATTAATTTACTTTAAAATATGTTTTTTTAAAAATACTTTTCAAAAAAATATTTTTAATGTGAATTAATTTGTATTTGATTAATTAATTGGTAAGTATTTTTGAACAGTAATTGATATTTGGCCAAATATTTATAATGTGCTTTTATGAATATTTTCCAAAAGTACTTTTTCGATGAAGGAGCTATTTTGTTTTGCTTATCAAAATTTACTTTTACTTTTGCTCGAAAGCATACTCTTTTCACTTTAAAATGCTTGACCAAACATCTTACCTTTAGCAACCAAAAAAATACTTTAAACCAAAAAGAAATTGGCCAAACAGTTTATAAGCGTCTGTGGTTAGAACTTAGAAGAGAGAGTCAATTATTTACGCTTTGAAAATTACTTTTCCTATTTTTCCTATTTGAAATGAGTGTAGTGTAAAGTGTAAACTCACTCTGATTTGAGGATCAATTCTATGTTTTTTTAATATCTCCATAAGGCAAAAAATTGATATCACTGTCGAAATTAGTTCAATGGACCTTAGCTATCATAATATGTGTTTTTAGTCTTAATTTTCTTATCATATTTAATTTTTTTATTTTTAAATAAAAAAAAACATATCTATCATAATTGATTTTTCCTTTTATGAAAAGGAAATATAATTCTTCATATTTAGCTAGTCTTTTAAAAAAATTGACTTCTACAAATTAAGGATCGTTCTCTTTGATTCAACAGCATCCACAATGTAGCCATAGTTTGAAAGTCTTATTTAGGGGTTTGTGAGACACCTTCTCTTTGTGAGGTTGTTCTCTCGATTCTTCGTACCCTCTTTTATGGACTGCTCATCTTCGCATGTGGATTAGGTCAATTAACTGTATGTTAAATGTTTGTGTCTCTTTTGATATATTTCTTTGTTTGATTTATCGCACCAAAGTTTGCTTCATTAACTTCTGCATGACACATGATTATTTCGATCTTAACAATATCTAGTATTTAGTTCATTTAATCTCATACGATTTAGCCTTATTAAGAATTTAAAATCAGTTTCATTGATAATATCAGTTTTAGTTATCATTTTGAAAATAAATTTTAAATAATATCCAGTTTTTATTATCATTTTGTTTCATGTAAACGATTAATCTTGACTCCATTATTCCACACCCTTACCGTTACTAATCCAGTCAGTAACGGATTGAATAAATAATTTGAATTTGAAGGCCATCCTCAAAGAGGGGCCGCCAGATTGATTTAAATCTCACAACTCACACTCAAAATTACTACTCCATATATTACTCCCCTGATCCACTATGTGTGAACATTTTACTATTGGAAAGTTAAAAAAAGTTTTCTTTGATCATATTTTTTTCTAAATCTTTTTTACAATTGTTATTTATTGTGACTTATACTACTTTTATGTATAAATATATACATTTATTTCAAAAAGATTGATTCTATGTTCGCATTAACACATAAGGTAGTCAATTTGACACTTACTTCGAAAGGATTCACATAAAGTGCAGCGAACGAGTTATATAATTATTACTAGTCAATAAATTCACTGTTCCGAGGCCTTAAAACCTCCTTTTTATCTCACCTCGATTTGCGTGCGCAGTCCGGGCGCGTATCTGGAAAACCATTATGTGAAAATCTGTGAAAAATAATAAACTTTGCCTTTAAAATGAATTTAGGTTGACTTTGGTCAACATTTTGGGTAAACGGGCCCGGATCCGTGATTTGACGGTCTCGGAGGGTCCGTAGGAAAATGTGAGACTTGGGCGTATGCCCGGAATCGAATTCCGAGGTCCCAAGCCCGAGAAATGAATTTTTAAAGAAAATGATTTTTTGGAATAGTTATGAGTTTTTGGAAACGAAATGTGTTTGTAATTTGATGGTATCGGGCTCGTATTTTGGTTCCGGAGCTCGGTACAGGTCTTATATGTGATTTAAGTTGAGCCTGTGAAATTTGGTAAGAAACGGACTTGAAATGACGTGAAACAGACCTTATTTGAGAAAATTGGAAAATTTGATGTTCTTAAGTGATTTCATGATTTTGATGCTAAATTCATAGTTGTTGATGTTATTTTGGTGATTTGATTGCACGAGCAAGTCCGTGTGATGTTATTAGGTTAGTGAGCATGTTTGGTTTGGAGTCCCGAGGGCTCGGGTGAGTTTTGGATAGGCCACGGAGTGAAATTTGGACTTAAGAAAAATGTTGCAGGTTGCCGGTCTGGTGCTGGCCTCTGAACTTGCAATTGCGAGATCAGGGATCGCAAATGCGATGTCTGAGATCTTGGGAATTGCGAGGGGGCCCTTCGCAATTGCAAAGTAGGCCCTGGCCAACCTTGCTCGCAATTGCGAGCATTCCTTCGCAATTGCGAAGTGCTCAGAATATTCCAGGAGTCGCAAATGCGACAATAACTTCGCAAATGCGAAAGAAGCAGGAACCTTCAGGGTTCGCAATTGCGAACCCATTGTCGCAAATGCGAAGCTTAGTGATTTTTCCCAGGGTCACAATTGCGACATATTCTTCGCAATTGCGAAGATAGCAGGTCCTGAAGGGGTTCGCAATTGCGAACCCTCGTCGCAATTGCGACATCAGAGACCAGTTAATTGAGACTTAGACGCATTTTCAGCCATTTTTCATATCTTCTCAAAACATAAACTCTCTCGGGCGATTTTCCAAAGAAAATTTCTTCTCCAAATCGATTGTAAGTCGTTTCTAACTCGTTTTCTTCAATCTTTAACATCTTTTCATATGATTTCAATTCAAAATCAAAGGTTTTCATGGGGGAAATTTGGTGTTTTGGGTAGAACCTAGGTTTTTTAAATTTTGGGGATTTAGACCTCGATTTGAGGTCCGATTTCAAAATAAATTATATATTTGAGTTCGTGGGTGAATGGGTAATCGGGTTTTGGTTCGAACCTCGGGTTTTGACCATGTGGGCCCGGGGTCGATTTTTGACTTTTTGGGAAAAACTTTAGAAAACTTATTTCCATGCATTATAATTGATTCATTTAGCATTTATTGATATAATTAAGTAACTTGTGGCTAGATACGAGCGAATTGGTGGTGGAATCAAGAGGTAAAGCGATAGTTGAGGCTTGAATTGTGTTCGTGGCATCGAGGTAAGTGTTTGGTCTAACCTTAGCTTGAGGGATTAGGAGTCGTGTCCTATTTGCTATGTGGTAATTGTTGAGTACGACGTATAGGCATGGTGACGAGTATCTATACGTTGGTGTCAAGCATGCCCGTGAGTCTTATGTTATGATTAATGTGACTCCGTTTTATTGTTCATGTTTAGTGTAATGATTGCTATTGTTGAGCAAGGCTTGAGGAAAGAATATTGGTATTTGAATAGTGAAGAGCGTTGGCTCAAGTTGTATAGTGATTTGTGGAAGTATAATTGGCAATCGAACCTTATAGAGCATTGGCTCAAATTGTGAATCGAGTTGTGAAGCAAAATGTGAAAATGAGAAGAGGATTATGACATTGTTTCCTTGCCGGGATGTTGTTGCTTTTAATATTGTTCCCTTGCCGGGATGTTGTTGTTTTAATGTTGTTCCCTTGCCGGGATGTTGTTGTCATTGATGTTGTTCCCTTGCCGGGATTCTCATTGTGATTTTATTGTGATTCTATTTAATTCCTTGCCCTTATTGATTGTGATTGTTGTTTGGGTGAGGAAGAGTGTTAAAGCACGAAGGGTGATGCCGTGCATTGTTTTGGTGAGAGAGTGTTAAAGCACCAAGGGTGATGCCGTGTATGATTTTGTGAGGAAGAGTGTAAAAGCACGAAGGGTGATGCCGTGCCGCACAATGTACAATTCCGTGCCGATTATGCTGATATTTATGGTGAGGACGAGAGTAAAAGCACGAAGGGTGATGCCGTGCAGCTTATATTGAATCTTATAGTGAGGACGAGAGTAAAAGCACGAAGGGTAATGCCGTGCATTTGTTTGATTTCTGATTCTTGTTGAAAATTCAGTTATGGTGTTCCTTATATTTACCTGCTATTCTCCTGTTATCATTTGATGTTTCTCCGCAGCATGTTCCCCCTCCCATCCCTGACTCTACATTTCTGCTTTTATTTTTCCGCTGCATACGATTTAACTGCACAAGTTTACTTGGTAGTCTGGTCCTAGCCTCGTCACTATTTCGTCGAGGTTATGCTAGGCACTTACCAGCACATGGGGTCGGTTGTGCTGATACTACACTCTGCACTCTTTTGTGCAGATCCCGGTGCTATAGCTTCAAGACTACAGTGAGATTGCTGCTTCTTGTTCATCAGGCGACCCGAGGTAGTCCTGCAGGCGTCCGCAGGCCTTGGCGTCTCCTTCTATCTTTTATTCCTGTTTCTTTCATGTATTTCCAGAGACAGTGTTGTATTATTTCTTTCAGACCTTTATTTGTAGTACTCCTAGACAGTCTGTGAAGTTGTGACACCAGTCTTGGGTAGATTTGCTATGGATTGATATTGGTACTATTAATAAAACTTTGAAATTCAGTCTTCCGCTTATTACATTCTGTTGTTTATTAAATGTGGTTCTTAATTGTTAACGGATTAAAAAAGGAAACAAGGTAACTAATTCAATTGGCTGGCTTGCCTAGCTTTCACTAGTAGGCGCCATCACGACTCCCGAGGGTGGGAAGTCCGGGTCGTGACAGTTGGAAAAGAAAAAAAATAAAATTTATGATTTTGATCTTATTATAATTTAATTAAAATATAACATATTGTTAAATCTATAAATATCTTTTCATAATTTTGGAGTATTAAAAAAGTAGAGTTATTTTTTCAAAAGACTAATCAAAAAGTTGGTATTGTGTACAACTAAGTTTCCATAAAAAGTCAAATCAAACTATCACATATATGTTTATTTTAGGCAAAGGATCGTAAAAATTAAAAAAGTAGCCGCGATAGCACCACAACAAAATAACTAAATAAAAATCTTTAAAAAAATTTACTCGCTCACAGTACATTTTTGTCACACTTCTCCAAACCGATTCTTAAACTTTTAGTCAAGCATCATGGTAATTCAGCCTACAATGTTGCAATGGGTTTTACTTTGCTAAGCATATATGAAAGCTACCATTCGAATTGTTAAACGTTTCATCCATCCATGGATTTAATTGTTGGATATAAAATTACGGGATATAAATATAAAAATTAAAAAGAAAAAAGAAGTAGAGAAAAAAGAACACATGATTTAGCTAAGTGAGTCCTTTAAGATCTTTCATATCTAGTAGAACAAATAAACAATGTTGACTTTAGGCGAGTTATGTTGGTACCTGCTCAAAATTCAACTATGTTTGATCTTACAACGTAAAACATAAAAAATTATTTGATAATGAAACAAAGTAATTTTCTAGATTCCAAAAGAAGCAGCCATACAAAAAGAGCGTTGCTTGGCAAAAAAAGGAAAACAACATTCACCTTTATCTTTCCCACGAACATAGAAATTCCTCCCTGATGTCAGGTACATTAGCAGTGGACATATATCGAATGCTTACATAGATCTCTGTAAATGACTTATGCAATTCTCTTTATTTATGATGAATCAGAATAGTCTTACAAACTTTTCAAAATAAAAGATTGTTATACTTGACCATCATATTGTACAATAGCAGGATAGTCTTCCTTCAATGTTGTCACTCCTCCATCTATTTCTTTTCTTTTAATGATCAAAGTCAAATTCTTTTTGTGCATAATGAGGGAGATACTGCAACTCAGATTGGGTTAATTTGGAGATAATAACCAAATTTCAATGGGGGATTACAGGGAGAAGAGAAGAGGAACCAATGCTTCTTCAAAGGGAAAAGATATGATATGTTTTATAAGCAAGAATTAGAAGCAAAAGGGTCATGCATTAATCCTCATTAATGTTGTGTTATTTTAGGAAGAAGAGAACGGAAGTCATAAAAGGAAAACAGAGAGATTTCAGGAGAGCATTGAAGTAATAAATAGAATTAATAACAAAAGGAATAAATCTGACAATTACTTTAAATTTCTGCAATTATTTAGATGGAAAATAAAAGATAAAAGAGCAAAAAATTGAGAAAAGAGATAAATAGGTTTCCTTGCATATAAGAGGTGCCACATCATTTTTTCATTTCCCAACTTTATAGATATATATAGATATAGATACTTAGCTTAAGTGTCCAATCAATAGTATATTCCTTTTTTTTTTCTTTTCTAAATCATTTATTAAATGGAAACACGTTCCCCTCTCAATTAATGATTAAAGAAATAGGAAGAAACTGTTAGATTTTTTAAGGTTTAATGTAGCTTAAAAGAGGGTGAATGGCAAATGGAGGAAAAATAAAATATTTGAGTTTTCCTCGTTGACAAAGGGGCATTGTCCCATATTGGACAAGGAAAAGGTTTTGATGGGTATATAGACAATTGCTCTTCTTCTAGCTCTTAAAAAGTTAAGAAGAAGGCAAGTCTTGCGCCGTCGTCGCTCGCTCGCTCGGCTTCGGCTTCCAATTTCCTCCGCACGTTTTCTCTTCCCGGTTTATTGTTGCGTAAATAGCCATTTATGTTATCGCATTTATGTTATGATCGTTTTACATAAACAACCCTTCTGAAGAGTTGCACCTCTTCAATTTGAGCTCAATATTGGCTATAAATACCAGTCCATTCTCTTAGATTTTCTATATGAATTTCTGAGTTCTCCTCCTTTCTTCTGCATTGTTTTAACTTCAAAGAAAGCAATAGTATGTGCGATTTGCTACCGAATTTTATGTTCGCTGAAATACTGGGGTTTGAAGTACCGCTATACCAGTGTGTAATTCGTTCTATCCTGGGAGAAAATAATCCACAACCTTGGGTACTAGGAGGAAATTAAAATACTTAAGGAAACGCTGTGAATTCAGTGGGCTCAGATTAAATTTTGTTTATTTTACATTTTCGTTTATATATTATTTTATCTTCTCCAGAATTATTCTACAAATACAATTTACTAACAGAAACTTCATTCGTAACATCCTATTCAGGTGTTTGCAAACTGCAATAGGAGCTGCATTTAATTAAGTGCCAGTGTTACATGCTATCAACCAATTGTATAATCTTCAGAATTTTGCCTTATGAGATGAGATCTTGTAAAGAGAGATCAATAATAATCATTGGAAATTAGGATCTTGGAACATATATTGTGAGCAGAGCACTGATTATGTTTATATTAATTCAAACTTTACCGATCGAGCAAGAGTTATTTTTCTAAGAAAATAAAAAGAAATGGTACCTAAAGTTCATTAAGAAAAAGGGAAATTTTGTTTAAATTTTTTAAAGGGAAAGTAAACTTATTACAGGAAGAAGCTTTTTTTTTGTTGGTAACTATCGAATTTTTATTACCAGGGAAAAGTATTTACAAGTATAACAAAAACCCCAAGAGTTGACATAGATCCCAACTCTAGCACTATCACTATCACAACTTCATCTATTTACATCAGCATACTCCCTATACACTTGCAGACTC